ACCGTGCGCAATGGGGGCTAATTAAGAAATCGCGCTTCAACGTCCCATTAAATGCTGAAATTGCCGGGCACTCGCGGTGAAGTGCCGGCTGGAGCCTTCGTGAAATTACGCGCGTTCCGAGGAACCTTGAATCGGTGAATATTTATGGAAAGAAAGCATGGGGGCATGTGTATCGTTTAATCAACTCGGGGAGAGACCGAGGATCTTCCCGAGCCAACCCAATCCAAGCTTTTGCCCTACGAATTTTTTCATCGTGGTTCGAAGTTTCTTTCTCCCTTCCATTTTCTTTTTTCTTTTCTTTCTTTCTTTTGTTTTTTGAAATTTCAACTTCGACGAATTCATTTTTCTTCATCTTCATGCCGCTTTCTTACTTGATTACCTTGAGACTTGGGTTTGAGTTTGAAAATTGATAGGTACGTCAGACAGAGTGATTAGAAGAGTTGGTTTCTAGCTTCGTGCATAAATTAACAATATCAACCGAAACACACTTGTAATTACACGGTACATGAATGAACAGCTCCAAATGACCACGTTCGTATCCAACGTTAATAGGAACGGGCATTATGAATAAAAGATTGTTACTGAGAAGGCCAAAGTACAAGTGAGTGGAACCAACGAAAGGATCATACAAGAGAGCCTTGATTTCTTATTCTTAGAATTAATCTCGAATTAATTGAAATGGTTTTCATTAGACACAGAGAGCGATAGAATCATCGACGAACAAAACACGAGAAACACCCGATAAAACGTTGCTGAGAATTGAATGTGAAAATTCAATTCTCAGCAACGTTCGATCGATAAGTCGATTAGTTTTGTTCGAGGATTGACGACTGACCTTCTCACGAACTTAATCGATATAAAGAAAAAAAAAAAAACCGACTAAAAAATCCTTTCCTTACTGCGAATTCAGTCACTTGGAACATTTTCTCGCCGTCTACGATTTCGCCCTTGCCCGGCTATAAAATTAATGAGACGCTATTAATTCTCACGGTACGAAGCGAGCCTTCAACGGGGCAGATTTTTCCAGCGGCCAACAGTGCACACTCTGTGTTGTGTACAAATTGTTCGCGAACGATAATAACAACACACGCAATCGTCGAGCCTCGTCTATGATTTATACGCCAGTCATTGTTCGCCACGCGACGACGACAGCGCGTGAGTCAAGACTATATCATTATTATTCTACCGCTCTTTCGCCTGCAATTTTAACGAAGAATGAATCCTGCCTTCAACAAGTGTCCACGCTTCCACGAAACCGGCTGCGAATCGAGTTTTTCAACCAATCCCTGCGGTTGCATACATCGCCTGGACACAGACGATACCCGCCTACCGTTCCTTTCCTTCTTAAATCACGAACATTTTCGAACAATGTAAGATGATCCGAGCTACTCGATTTTCATTCTCAACCTAACTTAAATCCTTCTTCTAAATCCTTCTGAAGCTAATCTAAATTTAATTTTCCGCTCCTAAGTTTACGTTTGACTGATTATCGATTATAGGTACATTTAACGCTTCGTCTCTCGACGAGGGAAATCGGTCTATTTCGAACATCGCCGCATTGATCGAACAATTATACTCGTTTCGCAACCAAAAATAATTGAAATTGTCGAGTTTGAAGCCGCGCTCGTCTACTTCTCTCTACAGGTCTTCGATTGAATTTCCATCGAATTCTCGTATCGGTATCCTGTTCCGAAATTGGCTGTCACCGAAGCAACCCGTCTTAATGAATTCGCGACGGTACAAACCGTCGAATTCACATTCCGTGACACAATCGACAGCTCATAATCCCCCGCTAATTGCCCCGTGAATTGCTCGAGATTACGAGCGCGAATGTTGCACGACCACGTTCAGAGAGAGACGTTCTGCCAATCAACCCCGAACGCGCCGCGGCAACAATCGTTTCGTTAATTGTTTCGCGTTCGCCGCCTATCAGCTTTGTTTGTCTGCGTGTTTTACCAATCACAATAACATCATTATCGACGCCGAGAATAAGTCTCGTTTCATCGACGCCGCGCAATGAGCAAGGGAACGAGATCTCTCTCTCTTCTCTCTCTCTCTCTCTCTCTCTCTCTTTGAGACGTTATCGCCACGACCGAGACGGTGAACCGAGACAATGTCTTCCGATTTACGTCTCGTTTTGTGGATTTTTGCTTTTCTTCGATTCGAGCGCCTCGCGAGAGACGGCGAATAAATAAGCGGAAGTAGAATGGGAACGCCAGGAGTCGGACAATAGGCCACACTCGTACGTCACGCGAGGATTGTCATTATCGTTATCACTCTGTTGAAGAATTTCTGCGGATGGTGAGAGAGATTTATTCATTACAGCGGCTAGCTTTTTAGTTCGATTAGAATAAACGGTTTGGCGAGCGTGGCGATGCTTGAAACTGAGAGAGAGAGAGAGAGAGAGAGAGAGAGAGAGAGAAAGGTTAGGTTGGAAAGATCCTGGAGTGATTTATTAGTCGGTGTTGTTGATTAATTGCGCGTGTGCTCATATACATATATATAAGAATTACACTTTCTGTTTAGGAAATAATAGAAACTTGAAGGAATGCGAGGAGAAAATAATATCGTGATTACGTTATTACTACACTCGCCGGAACAATTTTTGTGGAATTTTCGATTCAATTTTCTTAGAATTTTCCTCCGATTAAATGTAATTAAAATTAAATGCGATAAAATTATCTCTAAAGAATTTATTAAAGGTGTCCGTTTTATTTCCAAGGTGGAAAGTAATGAGAAGAAAATTGAAGGAATGCTGCTGTTAATTCTCCAAGTGTAATAATGCCTCGCTGTGTTTTTCCAAATGAAACGTACGTAACGTTCCTGCCCGAGGATTAAAAAATAATTAGCAGAACCGTGAAACGTGCTATTTTCTTCTTTTCTTTCTGTAATGACGCGGAGGTTTCTAAGTAAGGCGCGTGATTATTGTTGTTCACGAGCTATGAAAGGATTAACGAAAGGATCGCTGAATATCGTTAAACAGAGCACACACGAGACCGGTTCCAATCGTATCAGATTCTCGAAGAACCTCGGAACAAATAATTTCCGCTCGGTGGGTATGAAATGATTAATAAAACATTGGCGCAAAACATCGATCGATAAAAACGTGGCATAAAAACAAGACGCGAAATCTGAACGAGAAGTTTTTTTCACTTAAATCAAGCGTAATTTATTTAATCAGCTACTAGGCTTTCGCGATGCAAAATCACTCGTCACGGTCACGAGCAATTCTGAACCTGAATCTTTGAAACGAACAGAGTCAGCCTACGCGCGTATTATCAGTTTTATATTCCATCACGATGGGGCGAACCGTGGATGGCGATTGCTCCAATCGAAAGTTAGCGAATTAAATTCATAAATATTTATTAAAAAATCTGGCCCCTTGTAATCGACTCCGCGGGGGGTGGGTGGGCGCGGTTGGCGACCGAAAGCGTTAAACACATATCCGTTTTTCTCGTGAATAATAATTGCATCGCGGTTAGCTTGAAATTTTCACACCGAATTCCGTGCCGCGAGGCAAAAATCAGCGGAACGGGGGGAAAGAAATATATAGGAAAAAAGAAAAAAAAAAGGAAAAAAGGAAAACGGCAGAGAAGAAAACAGGTAGGAAAGGAAGAACGTAGAGAGGGAGACAGAGCAAAAAATTGGCGGAAAGTAATCTGGAATAAAGTGCCATATATAAAATTAACAGATCGCGCTTTGTATGTAAATTTGATATACGACGACGGAAAGTTGATATATCATTTTCTATGCATATTCATACGCGAATTCATACGGCGACCCCGTGGTATTTGTTTTACGAGGACGCCTATGGCTCCATTATTCTTCCTATTCCGCGAATTTATAAACGCTACGAAGCCGTCTCTTTTAGTTTCCCGCCCTCGCATTTTATCACACCGTATAAACCGTATTTTTCATCGTGTTTCATTGCAGTTTAGAGACGCGCCGCGCATCGGGAAATATTTTTCTCGCCTCGCCGTGGCGCTGTAAATATCGTGCAGTTTAAAAATAATGAGCATAAAGTTGCGAAGCAAAAAAAAAAAAAAATAAAAAATAAAAATAAAAAATGAAAAAGAAAAGAGTGAAAAAGGAAAAAAAGGGAGTATTTCACGGAACGAAATTAAGGAAAATCGTAACAATCTCAGACAATGAAGAAGAGTTAACGAGAGAGACGCGAGAATCTGACGTGATTTATTTTAATGGAAACTTTCTATTCGGCTTTCACGATTTTCTGTTGCTTTTCATTTTACCCTTCCACCCCTCCCGGCCGAAATCCACGAAAATTGTGCAATTCGCGCGCCAACCGGTCGAGCTAAAGTTACGCTAATTAAGTTATCAGGATTCATTCGGTTTCATTCCAATTAATTTCTGCCGTTTTGTTTAATAAACAATACCGTATCTTGCTTTCACGTTGATGAATCTTTAAACGTAATTAAATATAATTCTACATATATATATATATATATATATGATGTTCCGAGTTGCGCCAACATGTTCGCCAACATGACGAACAGCTCGTGTATAAGTAAATTTATAAACGCGACAAATTTATACAAATATACGGGGAGTGCGTTCTAACTCTTTTGTTCACTTTATCGATGCGTCGATGTAAATTACGAAATAAATTTAACAATGCACTTACGTACGTACAATTTCGCTGTTCATGTTCGTTGCAAGTCCCATTAACTTCCTCGAGTCTGTCGCCGTTCGTATCCACGGTGTACGGAATGTACGTGCGACCTTTGTGAAGCACAATGCAAAAGAATTTTATAATTAAACTTTGATCTCGCCAGTTTCTCAAAATTAAATTTCATCTGCGACAATTATGACGATCGAATAATAAAGTTCTGAAGAACTGTATCTCTTCAATTTTCTCGTCTCGTCAGATTTCTATTCTCGAAACGATCATTGGCACTTACCTTCTACACGAATTGACGACGAACAGCGCACAGGAAGAAGGATGATCGGACGATGGATTCATAGATTCATCGCACTATGTATAGTGTTGAGAATAAATTAATATATTTGAAATGAATATACGGTAGATACTGTCTCGCATCCCAGATTTTATGGCATCTCGTAACATCTCTGTCTCTCTGTCTCTCTCTCTCTCTCTCTCTCTCTCTCTCTCTCTGCTTCTCTCTTCTCCTCTTCTTATCTTTTATCGATTTTCGATATCTCTCTCTCATTTTCTCTCTTTCTCTCACTCTCATACAATGTATCCGCGTATAACACACAAAACAAAAAAAAAAAAAAAAAGAAAAGAAGAAGAGGAGATACATCCTGTAATTCAGAGCTTTGTACCGCTTTCCTTAATTCTCAGCATCGTTCGCGCGCTGCCTAAAACTTCTCCTCTTGAATTTCTATGTTATATACACGCGTGCCAGGCGAAATTTCTATTGCTTTAAATAATATCCGCGACTCGACGAACACCGGGGGTATCGGCTACGATCAATTAAATAAAACGGAATCGTCCATACTTCGAGCTATTTACATTAAATACACGCGCAGTCTGTCGTTCTCTCGCACACGCATCCTTGCTAACCCTCTACCTCTCATCCCCTCACGTCGTATCGTTATTCTAGAACGACACGTTCCAGAGTGAAACAAAAAAAAAAAAAAAAAAAAAAAAAAAAAAAAGAGTGGGCAAGAGTATTTATTAATCCTCGTTTTATTGCACATTCTCGTCTCGATCTCCACACCCGAACACGCAGGACAAAGAAGAAAGTCGAACACGCTGGACAGACGTCAACGTCACTCACGCACTCGATGCAGATATGTCGAAACTGATATAAGCTTTTCTTTTTTTCTTTTTTTTTTTTTTTTTTTGTTATTCAGTCGAAGGAAAAAAACTCGTCTCTTGTCGGCTGCACGATCGTCGAGAAAACAGTCACGCTGGAACTCGTTTGCGAAGCGAGTAATCACCGTTCGAATAATCACCCTTCGTCCAAAGGACGATCCTTTCACGATCGATCGATCGCGAGACCTCGCGGGCAAGTCCTCGAAGAAACGCGCAAGCTTCAGGCTCGCTATCGCGAGTAAACAGGATTCTATCCTAAGTATGTGTGTGTATGTGTGTCTGTGTGTGTGTGTGTGTGTCTCCCTAACCTTTCTAAATCTTCTCGTTGTTCTCGATATAATGTCCACGCGAAACTGGCCCGTCGCTTCGTTGTCTAACACCGAAACTCACGTCGTTTGTTTCCACCGGACAATCCACCCTTCGACTGGAAGGGACCCGACTTCCTCCTGGCTCACTACGTGGTGGAGGGCGAAGTGGGCACGGAGATTGGCGACGTGGGGCTGCTCGACTCCCTGCCGTTCGACAGGGTCGGCGTCGAGGCTCTGTATTCGTTGTGGATTCCGGGGGTGCTGGTTCTGTTATTACCCAGGAGACTGTCGATGGAGAACGGGTTCAGCCTCTTCCTCTCCTCCCTCCCTTTCACCGACAGGTCTATGCTACCGCTCTGCACCTCATCCTCGCTGGTCTGCTGCTTGACGGACGTTCTTCCCGGGTTGCCGCCGTTGTTCGTCGTCTGACGCGGTCCGCCCGCGCTGTTCATGTTCACCAGCTCCCTCCTTCTCTCCAGAAGGCTCAGGCCCCAGTGATGGATCCCCTGCTGATGATGGCTCAGGTGATCGAGATTCAGGCTGGAGTTGGGACTCTGCAGGCTACCCGGCACCTGGTTCACCGATCTTCGTGGATCGTTCGGCTCGTTGCTGCTGTTCGCTAGCCTCTGGTAACACTCGCCGTCGATGGAACCGTCGGCGACCGAGTCGACTCTCTCGCTGCCGCTCTCGCTGCACGAGTCCAGTCCACCCACCACGTCGATCTCCTCGTTCGCGTCGTTACCGGAGCCCGACACGCTGCTGCTCTCGTTGTTGTTCGCCAAGTGGTTGAACGAGCTTCCCAGGCTGCCGTTCAGCGAGTTCCCGCTGGACGCCGCGGCGCTCCGAGACTCCCATTCGGCGCGAAGCGTCGACAGGTCCACCGTGATACCCTGAAATCGAGACGTCGCGAATTCTTTCCTTTTCTCAGCGTCCGTTTCGTATCGCGACGAGTAAATTTCTTCACGTTCTTAACGTCTAAACTTCCACATGAACTTTGATGAAATTGACCGAACATCGAATCCATTAATGCGGAAGTTAATGCAAGTTTGAATTGAAAGGAAACGTCGTCGAATGTGATGTCGGCGGATAATAAGATTCGTTTTTAACAGACGAATTAATTACGAATTAAACGTGGCAGTATAAATTAAATTAGATTAAGTTCCAAGGATTTTAGAATCAGATGCTAGAAACGAATATGAATCTCGGAGATTACGATCAATCGAACCTGCCTGTGTAGTTTGTTACACATTTGCAAGGTAATGTCAGAAAGATGGTAGCTCGCGCTAGGTTTACCTTCGCCGCCAATTTCCTCTGCTGTCGTTCAAGAGCTTTCAGCAATTTTTTCTGCCGCCTCTCCCTCTCCTTCCTCCTCAGCTCCTCGGGTGGAATCGGTTCGCCGCTGCAACTCTGAGGATGAGCGTTGTGCGCCGGCCTTCCCGGCCCCTTCTTCGTGTGCTCTTTCTTCCTCCATTTTGCCCTTCTGTTCTGGAACCATACCTGCAAGCAAGCCAGCCAAAATTTCTCAATGCCACTCACGAATTCTCCGAATACGAATTCCAACTCGATTTCAATTAATTTGTCAGGTGGCGGAGAGAACGCGATGCGTTTTGAAGTCGTTGTCGCGTGGAAACGTTTCGGGGAATGCCGCGACGATCAAAGGGTGAAAAGAGGGGTGGCGGAACTACGTAGGCGCAGTGCGTATTTCACCGCGTCGACTGCAGCTTTATCCATTTTATCTCGGGGTAATTAAAAGCACGTCCAAGCGTGGAGCGGTCACAACGGTTAAATATCGAAATTACACGAAAGGTGGGCAGCCCGCGCGGAGGAACCAACGACCCCCTGGGGTGTCTTGATTCATGGCGAGTTTCAACCCTTTGCTCGCGTGAACGCTCGCGGCGTAAAGCACGATTTAAAGCCGTCGTGCGGATTTCGCCCGGCGCGGCGACCGAGAAAGCGGGAGAAAGAAAACACGGAAAGAGGCGGGCGGAGGGAGGAGGGTGGTTGAAAAGGTGGTTGAAAAGGATGAAGACATTAGTTGCGGCTACCGTCCGGTATGTGGCGCTGTGTTCTCACGCGAGCCACAGATCAATACACCCCCGCCAGCCCCTCGAACTATCCGCCTCGCACGTCACGTGCGCCTCTCTGCGACTTTCCCCGCATTTCTTCCCTTTCTTTTTGTTCCTCCACGAAAACGAGATTCAATCGGAGCAGAGATCGGATTGCTGCACGCGCAGCTGGCCATTTTTCGTGCCGCGGCTCGATGAAACTTTGCTCGAGAGCGGGGCGCGTGTTATCTCGGAAACTGGAGAGCGGGTGACATTCTGCAGTTCAGTTGCCCGGAGCAACGAAAAATCGCTGTACAGCTCGAAAGTCGCAGGAATCGCAGGAGGCGTTGAAATTTCCGAGCTTTGAGCATATTTTACGATGTTATTGATACGTCGTAGAGAAAGGAGACACGGCAAGCGTGGCTGCGATAAAATGTCAAACAGTCGCCGAGTTCATCGTCATCATTGGCGGAAATAACGAACGACGTTAATTGGCCGAGTTGTCGCGTAACCTCAGATAAACCATTGTCTACGATCTGCATACATTCTTCTCGTAGAGATTCGTTCGCTCCAACGCCGACAAGTTTCATAATGCAATCTACGAGAGTAAATATAGTTTCTGATCTTTTAGGTTTGAGTTTGCAACGAAATTGAAAACAAAAANAAAAAAAAAAAAAAAAAAAAAAAAAAAAAGGAAAAGAAACAAACAGAAAAATGGTAGACGAGATTTCTCCGTATCTCCTTGCGCTACAGATGTTCCGATTTTCACTCGTATCGAGGGGAGAACGACTTACAGCTGTTCCGCATTAAGTCGACGAGCAAGAGACTCGTTACTACCCCCGTACGTTTAAAAAATTATCGCCGACTGATAACCGCTAACAAGCTGCTCCATCGATTACTACGTGCTACGACCGACGCTAAACGTGTAACATCTTTTTTTTCCTCTCCTAGTCGTGAATTTACGACCGCGTCGCTTCTCCAGAGGGAAGCGTTCGTAAAACGTAAAGAGATTCCGCCTTGAGACGTGAATATTCTGGAAAATTCAGAGAAAAAATATGAGAGTCTTCACGTCCCACGGATATCTAATTCGAGAGTAATTAGTTTAAAATATTCTCAATTTGATTTATGTATCTCGGGGAACACGCTGATGGGAACATTCTTCACGCGTGTATGTTAAGCTAATCGTTTTATCATCGTAATATATTCTTCTGCGTTTATCTAGGAATAAATTTCATTCAAAAGGAAAATCACCGATTAGAATGTCTCTCAAAGATATTTCAGGTTAGAGGAATATTGGAATAGTAGCTAATTTTGAATTTTCGATCTATGAAAATGACAATAACAACGATAACGAGAAGAAGAAATTTTACATTGCAACAATTACCCTGACACTGTGGTAATCGTAATTAGTATTCTGCTCGCCCGGTTTATTTGCATCCACGAAACGTAGAACGGGTCGTGAGTTCTGAATTTACGCCGATGAAACAACGAATGAAAACCATAAAAAACATTTATTACAAAGTACTATTCATTAACCTTGGACGGAGGCAAGCTGAGGTGAATTATTTTTTAACCGATGAACATCTCCATCAAGATCGTTCCGACGTTCTCGCTTCTCGCTTCCTTTATTGTTCCAAGTGCGATAGAAATTTACAAAGAAAACACGCAGAGCTCCGAGACGTGCAATTCAATTCTCACTTTAGAGATAAAATGGAGATACTTTTAATTATCTCTCTCTTTTTCGCTGAAAGGCCTTGGAAAATTTTTGAATGTTCATTAAAATCCGCTAATCATCGGACAACCCTAACAAAGTGGATCATCACGAGGACCAGTTCTGACACGACGTCGTAAACATTGAAAAAGAGAGAAAATCATTGGCCGTTCGTGTGTAATTGATTTTTAAGCAGCAGCGATCTTCCATCCTCGCGTCGAGGACGAAGAGAGAAAGAGAGAGTGTGTGTGTATGTGTACAAGGAAGTCAACTTGTACGAAAGTTTTTGAATAAATATGATAATGATACCATAAAATCGTCGAACGACGTCGAAGCATAAACAGGACGAGAGAATGGCACCGACCCAATTTTCTTTCCTGTCAGAATTTCAAGAAGCTTTCGTTAGCATCTTGTAGTCTCAACAAATAATTGATTTTCGAAGACACCGATCGGGCCGATTGGAGGAACAACGACTGCGACGAAACTTTAAATTAAGTTGTTCGCGGCACGGAAAGAATGTTCAACATCGCAGGTAAATTATTAAATTATTCTCGCTCGAAGCACACGAGCGACATAAGAAACATTTCGAGTATCGGGACTCGTTCGCTTCGAGCAGAGGAAACTGCTTTGCGTTTAAAGTCGCGAAATTCAGCCTCGTGTTCGCACGAGACGACTAATGAACTTGTCGCGATCGAGCAAGATACCGGTTGCTTTCGAAGAGGCACCCTTTCTTCCCGAAAGGCCATACCCACGTGTGAACCGACGTGGGTCCCTCTCTCTCTCTTTCTCTCTCTCTCTCTGCTGCTGCTGTTCTCGGTTTCCAGTTGCCGATGCCGGCAACTGCTGTGTCGTCGGTTTATCTAGCAGTGACAATATCTTTTAAAAGCCCGGACTATGTAGCATCCGCGCGGGTTATCTAGCGTGGGCATCGACTATCTAATCTGAGGACAGTCCCTTCGAGAAGACGCACCGGCTGCATCGTGACATCGTGTCACCACCAGCCTGGGTTATCTCCGGATCGCCCCTGTCACCAAGGTCGACTCGACATTTCGCCCCGCGAAGGGGATAGACTCCGGTTCAGCTAAGCGATCGAATCGTGTTTTCGCGAGGGTTTTCGCGCCCGGTGATTTCAACGCCTGGTTTCGCGTGTCGCTCGTCTATCCTTCTATTGCACGTAGAATATAGACTATATTTCTACATAATAAAAATTTGTACAAGGTGGTAACTGAAAGACTGAATGATAGAAAACAAAAATAATATTACAAAACAATAACTTTTACAAACACGTGCTTTTTAATTTTTCATTATTTTATTTGGAAATATAATTAATGGACTTTTAAAACAACATCAATCCCTCAAGTGACCACCGTTTCAAACCACCCTTCAGTTTTTCAATAACCACCCTGTATTATACACAGTGAAGAGGATAACTCTGCCAATGACAATGAAATATTGTCGATAATTTCAACTGATATAACTTCGTAAAAAGGAAAAGAGAATTGTATAACCGTGTCTCGTTTCAAAGTATGAGGCCTGTACTTTGACAATACTGAATTTGTTCATTTTAAAAATGATTCTGACCGTCACGCGGCGAGTGGGAAACTGAAGACACGTTTCTCTCGAAAATTGTAAAAATTGAAACATATATAAAAACGTTAAAAAAAATTTTCTTCTGACTGAATCGACTGGTCTTGGAGATTAAAATTTTTCCTTTGCATCGACCTCTTAAATGATTCACAATTTTTCATTGCTATTGGTACAATTATGCCCTTCGCTGTCTATTTGTACATAATATAAATATTTCGATGTGAATCAATTGTCATTATTTCACGAAAGATAAATTTAAAACGAGACGTCTGAGACGTGTTTAAGATAATTGCGCGAAGTTTAAAGTTCGCAGAAACAAAAATTTGTCGGCGGACGACGTGTTACTGTGCAATTCGGGAGAGAAGATGAGATAGGATTGATTATTTAAAGAACACTGTGTTAGTAGGCGGCACACGAAGCGTGTCTAAGCGCATAAATATAAATATCTCATTGAGGGGGACACGAGGGTAGCTTCGTACCCGATGAGCCGTGAAATTGAGGGTCCACCCTTCGTTGGTCCCACAGAAGGTTACCATCGGTGTCAGATGCAAAGGGGTATCGCGAATCTTTCCGCACTCTTGTCGCGGAACATACGAACAAACGCAAACCAACTAGCAGAATGGTACTCGTACTTTAGAAAAATTCTCAATGAAATCTAAATTCGTCTACAAATTGAACTCAATCGATAAGTTATAAGAAAGAAAATCTGCTTTCTCCTCTCGAATCGTAATGGCAAAAATTCGCTGCAACGGAACGTGTAGGACGAGGGAACACCGCGTGGATGGTTTTGAGAAATATGGTCCGTCAATTAGAAGCGAAACCTCCGCTAATTATTTGAGAAACAAGCAGCGGTCATAAAAAAAAAAAAAAAAAATACACGTACGTCTTTGAAATGATTCGCGTGGTTGGCCAATTTATCCCGGGGATCGCTAGCTTCCGGAAGAATAAATTAAGAGAATGATATCGTTTTACCTTATTTCATTTTATTCCACGACACGCGAGATACAAGCGTTACGCGTTAAAATCCCCCTTTCTCTCCATCTGGCGATAACATTAAAAAAATAGAAGAAAAAAGAAGGAAAGAGTATTTTCCCGCGAAATCGATTTCCTGCCGACTGACGAATTGCCCTCGAGCATGAAACGTTCCTTCGCTGTGCACGCGCCATTCATCGTTCCGAATGACATCTCGGAGATCTACGAATTGCAACCCTCTCTTCCTGTTGAAACCTTATCCTAATAGTTGTTCCATTTTAATTTTAAAACACGTCGCGCTTTGATTATTATTATTATACTTTCAGCTACCCGATTACAGAACTTCCTCTTCTTACAGTTAGCGCGAACAGCACGACGAAAGAAACGACACGACAGTTCGGTTCAGTTGTTCAAATGGACACAGAGCTCCGGCCCCGAGATAGATCTTCCTCAGTTAACTACCCCCCGACACATTCGACCGGGACATGGCTCTCTGTCTAAGGTAACCGCACTCAGAATCGAGCAGATGGACTAACTACCCCCGGGAGAGTAGCTCCGAGGGCCGACGGGCACCGAGATCAAACCACCCCCACGTCGTCTGTCGGGCATCAACCCTCGAAAAATGACGGCGAACTCGCTATAAATTGCCGCCTATCGGTACAACCGATCTGGGACGCCAGATAATGCTACGCCGAACGTGAAATCAGATCGCAATAAAAGCGCATTCTTCTCGCTTCTTTCTTTCTTCTCCTTTTCTTCTTTCAAAAACGAACGTCAAAGATCAATTGAAAATTTTCGAGTTATATTATTACGAGGACGAAGTTGCAAATTCAAAGGTTAATAAAATAAGAAATGTAAGAAGACTATGTTCTCTCTCTCTCTCTCTCTACGAGAAGAACGTATTTAATCTTAATTTGTGTACTTAAGTTGACGTTAAATTGCCACCATTTGCACTCACGCGAATTCCTGAATAATCTGTCCCCCCACCCGCCTGATCGCGAGGTTTAATAACGTCGTTCGCCGGATCTTTCGGATCAGCTCGGTTTCTTTCTCCTGCGAGAACCGGCCGCCTTTTATGCCCCGTTCCTCTCGCAGGGGATTATCCCCTGGCGGATGATGCTCGAGCAGCGTTAAGTTTGTAAAAGTCGCCCAACGAGATATACTCACGGCTACGCGGCTCTCTTTCAGCTCGAGTCTCACAGCCAGAGCTTCTCGCATAAACACATCAGGATAATGACTCGAGAGAAATGCCCGTTCCAATTCCTCCAGTTGCCAGCTATTAAAGTTAGTCCTGCTCCGTCGCCTTTTGCTCCCGCCTTCGTCCGATTCACCGTCGCACCCTGAAATTATGAACGTGTCCGCGTTAGAGAAGCTTCGCAGGTTTCCATTGGTGGGAGGGAGAGAGGAAAGAAAATAAAGAAAGAGGGGGAAAGAAAGAGTTAAGCCACTTAGCCACTTGTTATCCCTCCGCCTTTCGGAGTCAACGTCTTAAAAGCCTCGCGTGATATTTGTTGGAAAATAATATTCAATTATGCCGTATTATACGGCGTTTCTTCCGGTAGCGTCGTAAATAGACTCGACAGCGGTGTTGAGAGAGTGATCTTGCTCTCCGGGAGAAGGAAACTTACTCCTCGCACTGGGATCGTTAAACGGAGGAAGATCGATACGGTGGAGTTCGAACTTTTGTTCCAAAATTTTCTCGAAATTTATTCCTACCGGGTATCAATTCGGTCCGATGTAACTGACGTCGTAGGTAGGGAGGGAAAAACACACACGCGGAGATCGTAGGGCTTATCGTCGCAGAATTGCTCGAGCATCGTCGTATCGTCCGGAGAGGGAGGCCAATCGTCTTGTTGCAGATAAGACCGGCGAGCAGAATCCCGGCATATTGAATAAACATGGAATTTCAGTGATTTTACGATGTCTCTCGTCCACCCTCCGCCCTATCTGAAGCAAGAATCTGCGGATCCGCGATTGTTTTGGCAGACGTGTTCATCCGATACGCATGCTAATGCGGATAGGCCGGCGGAATTGAAAAAAGATCGGCAATTATGATTGACTCTGCAATAAGGCCGCCGTTATCTGGATCGAGAAGTGAAATAGCACGCGGCGAAACATCGCCGGTGAGATCGCGATGATTTGGCAAAAGATTCGCGCGTCTGGTGAAATTTGGTTGTGGAACGAAGAAATCGGAAAAGCGAGTTTTGTTTTAACAGTTAGAACTGTCGACGGTTGAAGCGTAAAATTTCCAACACTGAAGTCAATAAAATAGAGAAACTTTATAATAAGTGTACAGTTGTCCGAAGTTGTTGTAAATGAATTCTATCACGATTCGATTTGACGGAAATACGTGTAAAGAATCTGCCGCAAAATTATGATTTTGAATTTCAAGGTCAAAAAATTTTATTTTCTTGCGTTGTATTCTACTCATATTCACTTTTAAGGTAAAATTTTTCCATGAGATCATAAATGGGAAAAAGTTTCTTAACCATTTAACACTGCGGAGGCGTGCGTTCTAACAGCGACTTTATGGTTTTGCATGTACGGACGTTTATTTTACGTTAATTTTCGTATCAGGTTTCACTAACATTTGATTTGTCATAGCTGTAGCATCAATGTGTCTAAATAACCAACTGATAAAACAAACTGTTAACATTATTCGAAATATAAACATTACGCAATAAAGACATTCATAGGCGTCCAACCATAAAGTCGTTGTTAGGACTCACAAATGATTAAGAAACTTTTTTGCCATTTCTCAAGAGAATTATTAGGTTCTTTGGAAAAGTTTTCGTAATGAGTAGAATACAATGACAAAAAAAAAAAGAATTGAAATTTAATGCCAAAATCTATTTTGTGACAGGTTTTTTTAGATGTATTTTCATCGAAGGTGTAGAATTCATCTATGATAGCCACGAACAAACTTTTCTTTGCACTCTGTACAAGCTTTCATTTGTATATTTTATATTTAATTTTATATTTAATTATAAATTTTTAAAAATACGCTGTTCTACAAAATTATAATTGGTTTTGACCACTCTGGTAGTTCTAGTATTTTAAAAATCATCGTGGCCAAGAAATTGAATTTCAAAGATCTCTGACGACTAAGTCTGCGATTCGACTCTTCAGATTAGCGCGTAGAATCGTCGACGAGACGAGAAAAGAAATTTGTGGCTTTGGAAGCACGTCGGCCGGTAGCCTGACGCGGGCAATTTTTCTTCTCTCGTGTGTCCGCGGCACGGTATTATTATCGGAAACGACTATCAAACTCGATACAGGTAGCACGTTAAATAATTTATGAGAGAGCGAGTTAAACAATTTTCGCGTCCGGCTTGATCGCCGAACGTCCTCTCGGTCTATTTTCGTCCCCGTTCAACGGAGACGGAACTACGCCTTCATCCATCGAAAAAGAGGAAACAACCGGCCGTGTCCTCCGATACGTGGCCTCTCCGTAATGAACCTGACACGACGATAATGATTCGCTTAATTCCGCGGCGAACGCGTGACGGCGCTCGGACACACAATGATCAGCGGTCTCGTAATCGTCGCTTCCGTAAATGGTATCTCACAATTTATCTAAGGACACGCCGACCATTTTGTCTCGTCGTTCGTCGAATGAGAATGCGTAATTGAGAGGACACCCGTCGGCCATGTTTGACGTCCGATTTTTACTGCTTTAATTGGACGCTGGTTAGCCTTTGACTAACTTCCTTGATTCAATTACATACCGAACAGACTGACATCGTTCCCTTCGGAAGCGTTCAAGTTCAATTTCTGTCGGGGTTTTAGAAATTCTGAGACATTTTTTGATTGAAGAAACACGTCGAACATCAAAGGGATGGCTATTGAAAAATTTTCGCAGCGTTGAAATTCATTGATTCTGAACGAAAAACATGTCACGTTGATACTTGGCGCCTTATGATCGAGCAATCTCGAAAGTTGAAAGATGATTGATATCGGTTTTTTTTTTTTTTTTAATTTAAATTTAAATTAAAATCCTTCTTTTACTTCAAAATCATCATTGTTTTACAAAAGGGGAATAGAAAGTTTTTTTTTTTTTTTTTGTCAGAGAGATGGACGAAGGTTGTCAATAACGATGAGGACTGTATTATAGTCGTAACCTCTTGCGCTGGAATGACGTGCTACGCACGTCGCAAATTGCAATATTCTTTCAGTTTTAAGTATATTTAAGTATAACCCAGACAAAACAAATAATAAATTTATTACTTCTCAACAATTTCTACCCAGTGATATCATACCGACGAGTATGAAAAGAAAGCGACGAATTATTGTACACGGTTTGGTCACTCGTTACGGTCCGCAATCAGTTGCCAGCGCAAGTGGTTACGACTGTATCGACTGTGAAACAAAACAAAATTTTGTACACGTACGGAAATCTCGAACCGGTCGAAATTTCACTTGCGCTTTGAACGTGCAATCAACTCGTACTCGCACTTCCCCCCTCCCCCCTATCGAAAATATAAATTTCCCATAAAATGGTAAAGACTCGTGCAACTTGATACGCCGCTTCTCCTTCTCGGCTGAGCGAAATAAAGCGATTTGCCCGTACGAAACCAGCACCTTCGCACGTATCATTTCCCCCCCGGCATTTTCCAGAACGGCGAGCGCACGTTTATTTTGCGTTTCGCGGAAAAATCAACACGCGACTTTCATGAAAAATCGTTCGTCGGCCGCCGACAATTTTAAGAGATCACGTCGCGTACGAGGTGTAATTTCCCAGTTACTACACGCTGGCGAAACTGGTCCCGGGGAAATTGGCGCGTCTCTCTCTGCTCTCCATCTTCCCGAGAAGCGCCGTCGAACCGCGGATGGACGGTCGAAAAATCTAAACAGCCGTAATGCGTATGTTTGTCGCGGGGAAAAACATCAGGTGCGTTTGCTTCTTCGTTAATGACGAGCTCGCGTTGCCCGGCGTTATGACGGATTATGAATACAAATTACTCTCGGCGCCAACATCGTTTTAATACCGGGATAATTTATAACGATAGCTCTCGATATTCTCTCTCTCTCTCTCTCTCCCTCTCTCTTTCTCCTTCCTCGGTTACGATCCAAAGGTCCGTCCTTCTTCTTCCTTTTTTTTTATTTTCTTTTCCCTTTTCGAGCGAAACCTCGTCCGATGCGCGGGCAGGGAGCCGGCGTTTAAGCTAATTGTCGCTGCACGCGAGAAGCAATTTCCACCGGAGGAGCCATTAGGCGATCGAAATGTCTTCGTCCTCGCCGGGGACGAGAAAAATTTTCGGTCGGTGCCGCCGGGTTAAAAAGGCTAATTCAATACTCGCGAGAAGGCGTATGCATACGAATCACCGTGTAACGCGGCATTATTATACGTGTATAAGGGACGAAGGGGGCGGACAACGAATAGACGTTCTACGTGGGACACTTCTCAGGATAATCAGCACGTTTCGTTAATAAATCTCCGACGATTGCTGTTACCTCGCTACGATCGTTTCGCCGAACGACGACGAGCCGACTCGAGCGCGTAATTTGTACCCCAGGACAAACCTCCTTCCTTTCCCGAACGTAATCGAACTCCGTGATCTCGCGAATTTCCGTGAAATTACAGCTCGATCGTTCGGCCATTTTTTGGATGATTAATAGCGGCAGCACACCTCGGCGCGGCTGCTTCGCCAGCGTAGCTCGTTCCTGCTGAGATTTCTTGTATTATTTGCATCGGTGTGGGCTGTTTGCCGGTCTCGTTATCCATCGAGCGTTTCATTCTCGGAAAATTGTTTAGCTTGGCGAGCGAATAAATTAATAAGAACGCGAGGAGACATGCTGTTGAAATTGAAATCAAAAGGGGGAAAGATGGTACAGTTGAAGAAAAGGTGGATTGGACAGAGTGACTCTCAGAGTGAAAATAATTGTTGGTGGTCAACGATTGCTGACTTTTATTAGGGACAAGCTCAGGGATGTCGCCACTTATTTTGACTATTTCATGCTTTTTTCTGTTGTTACTCTGTGGCGGTACTATCGGGGTGTCTTTCCTGTTGCTATGCCACTCCATTTCTTTTACTTCTGAGGAAACAACTTGTAAAGGACGTTCCACGTAGTCTCTCAATAAATATATATTTCTTACCATTTACTGGATACGCGTGTTTTCCACTAAACCAAATTCCATCAATAATAATAATAGGGATAATCTTCCGCGCGACGGTGGAAGATTAAAGCGCGCTCGTGGCGCAACGTGTTTCGAATATAAATTACTTTCATCCGAAATGAACGTCGCTGGTGTTCAGCTGCTATTTATTACAGGCTGGGTCATCGCGATGTTCGTCCGATCGCTTTCGGTACCTCTTGTCCAATTAAGATTCGCCAATCG